GAGAGAACTGAGGAATAGTAAAGTTTTAATTGTGATCTTTTTATCTGTAACGCTACAGCTTGAGGTGTACAGCAATTTATGACAAGGAAGGTTGTTCTTTAAGGAAGGTAGGTTTGAAGGTAGTTGGTGTGGTGTTGAATTTTTGTAATTGAGAAGTTAAATGTAGCTTTAATTATTAATTACATTTTGTATATTTTATTAAGGTAATTTTTGACTGGCAAGCAAGGCGGCTATGTTAATGGGAAATTTTTATATATCCTAAAAGAGAATTTCGTTAGTTTACTAAAAATTTAAGTTGCCTTGTGAGCGCGATAATGTTAGTAAGGGCATTGTATGAAAGGATAACTTAGTTTGGGAAGCCTTGTGGAATGACGTTGTCAATTGAAAAACTGTTGGAAAGGGATAGGCCTTTATTGACTATTATTTTTTCAGTTTGTAATAAAATAAGTGACATGTGGAATAATTTTTTTTTTTTTTTTTTTTTTACTTATGCATTTTATTTATTGAATCTTCTCTGAATTGAGACTAACAATAAGTATATAAAATCTTAAATTAAAAAGCTATATCTGACAGTCAAGTTGACTGACGCGGGATGTAAGGGCTCTAATAACTATTGCTGAGCTGGAAGGTCATTTCGTTGCAATCGGGTCCGCCGAGCTGGTTTGGATGAGAAGTTAGCTTGGTGTGGTAGAATGCCCAGATCTCTGTGGATGTTGTCGTTCCGAACATACCAAGGTGCCCCAGTGATAGTTCTCAGGATTTTTGATTGTGCTCGCTGGATAATGTCGATGTTACTGCTGCTCGCGTTTCCCCACAATTGGGAGCCGTAAGTCCAGACTGGCTTAAGCGTGGAATTGTAGAGCAGAACCTTGAAGTCCAGGCAGAGGGGGGAGCGAGCGTTTATGAGCCAATGGAGGTTATTGGATTTTAGTTTTAGATGAATTTTCTTAGCTTCGATATGTCTCCGCCATGTAAGTCTTCTGTCAAGGTGGACGCCAAGGTACGTTAAATCGCCAGCTTGTGGAAGTGGCGTGTTATTCAGAGTTAGCGGGGGACACGTTTGTCTGTTAAGAGTAAACGTTATGTGTTTACACTTTTGCGCATTTATTTTTATACGCCAGTCTGATAACCACCTCTCCACTACAACGAGATGATCAGCTAGTTGTGCTGTTGCCTGAATTGGGCATTTGGACCGACTTAAGATCGCGGTATCGTCTGCGAATGTAGAAGTAGTTAGCCGCTCGTTCGTGGGAATATCTGCGGTGTAAAGGAGAAATAGAGTTGGACCAAGGGCGCTACCTTGAGGAACTCCAGCCTCTATCGTGTAATCATCGGATATTGTAGTGTTGCATCTCACGGCGAAGGCTCTGTTGTAAAGGTACGATTCAAGTATCCTGTGAGTGTTTTCCGGTAGTAACGTTCTGATTTTATGCATGAGGCCATCGAGCCAGACTCGGTCGAAAGCCTGCGCAACGTCAAGGAATACCGCACTGCAGTATTCCCGAGACTTGAATGCTGTTCAAATCTGTTAACTTGCTCTATTGTTCCATGGCTTTCTCGAAAGCCAAATTGATGCGCCGGAATAATGTTGTGCTCTTCCAGATATGGGATTATGCGTGTCAAAAGGCATTTTTCGAACAGTTTTGACAGACACGAGAGTAAACTTATCGGTCTATATGAGGCAGGTATTGTGTGATCTTTTCCTGGCTTTGGGATCATTATGATTACCGACTTTTTCCATTTTTTTGGGAAGTAGCCAAGTCGTGTAATCCCGTTAAATAGTTTACAAATTACCTTAACTGCACAGTTTGGGAGTTCAATTAGCATCTTAGGAGTTATTAGATCACCACCTGGGGCCTTTTTTGTTTTTAATCGCTCGCTGATGACTTTTGCAACTTCGTTTGTTTGGAACAGAATAGGCGCCGTCTCAGTTCCACCTCGAATTGGCGGCGACGGTAGTGTGAATGAATTATTTGCAGGGTTTGGCTGAAAAACATTTCGAAGGTGTAAAGCAAATGTACAGGCTCCGTCTTTGTCGCTTCTGGCCCAGCTGCCTGAAGAGTCTCTTACGGGAATTACTGTTTCGGCCGGCGCATTTAGATTTGGGTGGGCCCTCCACAGGGGATGCTTGGTGCTGGTGTGTGAAAGTTTCTCAATGTACTTGCGTTGTGCTTTTTCTTCTTCGTGCCTTAGAGCCCTGGTAAGTCTGCGACCAGCTTCCTTAAGACTATGTTTTGAGGATGGCGATCTGCTGGTTTGCCAAGCACGCCTCAAACGTCTTTTCTCCAAAACAAGCTGTTCGATTTCAAGGTTAGTTTTGTGTTGGTGTGTGTGCCCATCCCTCCCTTGCGGTGTAGAGACTTTGGCTGCTGCGACGAGTACAGACTCCAGTGCATTGGCATAGCAGTCGATGTCCTCCTTGAAGTTGAGCACTGGTGAGTGGTCCGATGATAGATCCAAAAGCGATTTTGCAGATATTAGATTGCGGGAAATATTTTTTTTCACAGCAAAATCAATTAAATCAGGTAGTTTTCTAGGATCTGTTGGCCAGTATGTAGGACTGCCTGGTGAAACGTAGTCCAGTTTGTTGCATGTTTTGATGAGTGCATTATATAGTTGCCTTCCTTTGGGGGTAACAAGGCGGGATCCCCAGTGTGTGTGCTTGGCGTTGTAATCACCTGCTGCTATGAATCGCTCTCCAAGTGAATTGTAGAAGTCCATGAATTGGTCTTCTGAGACTGTAAAGCGGGGTGGGCAGTAGACAGCGGCAATGGCAAGGTTGCTGGTGCCCAACTGTAATTTTATCGATGTAGCTTGCAGATAATTTTTTGCAAACCGTTGGTAAAAGTGGTGTTTGATACGGTCTCTTATTAAGATGCCGGCTCCGCCATGTGCTTTACCATCTGGATGATCGGTGCCGTAGAACGTGTATCCTCGTATTTGAAAGTTATATTTGCTGGTGAGATGCGTTTCTGCCAGCAACATAACGTCGATGTGATTTTCGTTCAGAAATTTAGTTATTTCAGGTATATACCGTGAAACACCATTGGCGTTCCACAGAGTTATTCGGAGGCTAGGCATAATTTATTTGGACTGCTGAGCTGCAAGCATTTGTAACAAGATATTTTGGTTTTGCATTAGAGTTTGTTGCAAAGTTATCATCATAGTTTCCATGTTACTTTGTGGCTGTCCCATGCCCTGCTGTATGTTATCAGTTTTCGGCTCTATGTGAGCTGTGCCTGATCTTAGAGCACTGGCGTAGGAAATGCTGTTGGTGGTAATTGAAGGGCCAAATGATGACCTGGCTGCTTTTGCGAAGAAAACTTCGGGTGTCGTTTGTGATTTCATGTAAATGTTCTGGCGTGCCGTTGTCGCTCTTTGCATCCGACTTTTCATCTCCTTGTAGACTGGACAGCCTCTGTAGTTTGCTGTGTGGTTTCCTTGGCAGTTTACACACTTTCTAGTGAGAGAGTCTCCCTTGTTGGCAGGGCAGGGTTCGGAGCCGTGGCAGTTACCACAAGCTACACAAACTGACCTGAGGGTGCAGTAAGCCCTGGTGTGTCCGTATTCCTGGCAGTTTGTACATTGCACTGGCCCGTTCCGTTTGTGCGGCTCTTCAACTGTGATCCTACGGTGCAGAAGGTACTGCAACTTGTAGATCGGGTGCACTGCCTTTTTTTTCAAAGTTCTGCTGTCTGGCTCCAGCTCGACCTTGAAAAGGGGTTGCGGCTTCTTGTTTTTGTTCATAATGTTTATAACATTTTTGGCGGTCACATCGGGTTCTATTCCCTTGAGGACAACTTGTAAGCCCTTGCAACTTTTCAGCTGGTACGTGTAGTAATTCTTTTTGGCATTGTTTAGGTACCTCGACACTACTCGGAAATCATCTTCGGTTTTGGTTTGAAGTTTGGTTTCGCTTATGTTCCCTTTCATAAGCGGAATAACATGAAAGTTATCCTTCCCGACAAGCTCAACTATTTTATTTACTAGAACGTTAGAGATCTTCTCCCGAATAAAGATAGGTGGGGGCTTTAGTTTCTTTGGGGCTAATTCTTCGTACTCTGTTTCAGGCTCCGCCAGAATGGAAAATCTATTTTCATTTAATGGCCCGAGATTTTCAGTGCCTTTGTTGGTACGGTTTATTTTGGGCATATTGCCGTCAGATTTGTTTGGGGGGGTTAGCTTGCGCTTGGAAATATTAATATAGCGATCCATGCATGTCTGTGCTTGGCCGAACCCGCTTGCGGAATTGTAATTTTTCCTACCGTAGCTTTTTTTTTGCCGTTTGACTCGATTTTTGCACTTGGTTGTGTTGTTGCTTTAACCGCTGCAGAAGAAGAGAGTGGAGTCGTTATTGCATTGTTGGCGACAGAGACCGTTGTAGTTGACGTAGTAGTTGCTGTTGTTGTTGCACTAGGTGGCAGAAGCTCGGTTGGAGTTTTCGCAGCTCACACCATGTTGTTTGTGCGGTGAAAAGCAGGGCGGGAGAGCAAGAACTAGCTCTCTGGTTTTCGGCGGTCAGTAAACTTGCACTTTCTTGCACTTTCGGTTCTACAGTATTACTCGTGAACGAGAAATAAGCATTGTTTCGGGCCAAAGAGAGACGACGTTTGTCTTGCTCACTCTGAATTTTTTCACGGGCTTCGTCTTGCTGTTTTTGGCGTTGAGTGCGCTGATCCACGTTCTTACTCATTTATTGATAGAGCGTAATATTAATTAATTAATTATTAAAACTTTAGTTTACGATATGCGAATTAGCATCGCGAATCGCAAAACCACGCGTTTATAAATTTTTCCGAACGTTTACAACTCAGTGACTTATTGTTTTTCCGGAGCGTTAAGAAAACACGTCTACACGCGACCGAATGCAATGATGCAATGCAATGTGGAATATTTTAAATTCACTTTATGACGTGTTTAATTTAGGATTACAAATTTAGCTCAGCTGCGAAGCCAGTAGAAGAGAGAGTTATCAATATCAATTACCATTTTGCCAGGGTTCCTATAAAAACAGCTGATTGCTTCGCGTTGCGAAATAGGTCTGAGCCCTGGTCGCCACATCTATGCCCCCTCCAGTGACTTCGTCGACTGGCGAGGTAAAAAAAAACTGCTAAAGCATTGTTTCGGGAAATTGTGACAAAGGCGGTTGCAAAGCTTTCTGTTCTGGTGACTGGCTGAAATCCACACAGTCGAGAAAACAGATCAACTGGTAAAGCTTTCTCGGGACCATCCATGTTTATAATGTAGACTTTCTCATCCACGCGGTGAACTACTTGGTGTGGTCCAGTATGGGGTTGCTCCAAAGGTTTTTCAACTGCATTGCTTGTAAGTCCAGTGGATGTACAACGCCTTCGCAACCGTTTCCGCAGACATGTTTGAAAGAGGAGTAAAGATATGGAATATCACTCAATGTATCAAGTTGGTCAATTGGTCAGACAGTTCGGCAATTTCCTTGTCAGCTTGCTGTGCGTCAAATATCGCTTAGGCGATGACGTTAGTCGGCATGCTTTTATGCATTTATGCATTTATGAGTGACAGTGCTTCTGCGACTGCATTGTTCTCCACGGGTGGTAACCGATTTCCGTAAAAAACTGAGAAATGAAATCCAATTGACGCGGATATGCTTTGGCGGATTTTTGATTTAAAGGTTATTGCAATGGGTTATGATCAGTTTTTATAACAAAAGAAGAACGTCCCTCCAAAATGTGTTTAGAAGCTATAATGCCGGAAAATATGGCCGGTAGTTTGAGATCGTATGTGTTGTGCCCTCGCTTTGTTGAGGGCTGTTTCCGAGAGAAGAAACTTACTGGTAGCCAGACATCGCCATCCTGCTGCGCCAGGGCGACTCCAATGGTGTAAGCATTAAGTTTGCGATAATCACTATTAGTACGACACTCGTTGTGAATCGGGTTCGCCCATTGGCTACTTGAAGGACGAAATACTCCTTGTTAAATCGTCGAAGTCCCCGTCTTGGCTTATCGAAAACGGGGTCAATTGTCTCGATAAAATGCGCTACGTCATTATTGACGCATGTTTAACCCTTTCGACCCCAACTTTTTCCCTGTCGAAAAAAAAATATTTTTTTTTTTGTATTCTGTTTGTATTGGGCCAAGCAGTATTTGAGTAAAGTTTGAACTCCCCACCCCCACTAGTTTGGGCGCTACCGGATGTTGCTTGTGGGCAACGTTGGGCCATAGTGTATATTAAAGAATACATTTTTAGTTGATGGTTATTTTTGTTTATTTTCAATTTTTAAGTATGGTAAGACATAAAACAGTTTTTATTGTTGTTACAGCATAGGTGTACTTTACATTTAATACATTTTGACATTGGGGTTCCTGTCTTACACAGTCTGCAACGCCCTTTTTCAGTAAATACCACCCAATGTTCCATGCAATCGTAACGCATAGAATTTGTAGGATTTGGCTGATTTTTTGGATTGATTGGAAGACACACTGCTAGTTGGAGAACCCAAAGATATTATTGAGTTTTCTCTTTGCATATTTGATGGCCGACCCCTCTTTTTTTCAAATGAAGTAGAGTAAGTACATTGTAGCAGCTCATGAGCAACTTCCATTTGAAATTTGATGAGCGGTATATACTTTTGATTTGGGTTTAGAAAATGAAAATTTTTTCTATACAGCAGCCATGCATTTGTCATTGATGTTCCCAAGCACCAATAAAAAATTCTAATGTACCACTTTCTTGAACGGTGGTTTATTTTATATAGCTCCATAAGCATGTCCGCTAAGTCTACTCCTCCCATACCCTTGTTATAAGAGCCTACGATAGCAGGCCTTACAACATCAATGTAAACTTTTTCTTTAGGACTCCATCGTTTGCACATTCCAACTGGCTGATGGTCTTCATACGAAGATAGTAGTTGAACCGACTTATTATCAAACCATTTGACGCATATCAGATTATTGTTTACTTCATATTTTGTATCAAATGATCCTCTTCCACGTTTTTTCAATTCTGCATCTGAAAGAAGTCTACAGCTGCTTATGCGGTTTTTGCGGATAGTTCCGGTTGCAAATATGCCATTTTCCTTCAATGCAACCAAGAGACTAACTGACGTAAACCAATTGTCAAAATACAGCTTGAAAGGTTTGCCTTTGGGAAGACCTTTTGATAAGTATAATACCACATCTGAAGATATTCCCAATCCAAAGTTTGGGCAAGTGCCTTCGCCAACATACAGTGTGAAGTCATAAACTAATCCAGATGTTCCAGCGCGCGTAAACATTTTTAAACCCCATTTGTGAGGCTTAGCTGGGTTGTATTGCTTATAAGACGATTGGCCTGACAAAAAATTAAAATTGAATTAAAATTAAAATTAAATTTTAATAAAATTTAAATCTGAATACCTTTGTACGCAATGATTTGCTCATCAACGCTTTGATGTTCTTCTTGGGGTAGTTTACCAAAACTTTTTTTGAGAATGTCAAGTAAAGGGCGTATTTTGTACAGTTTATCATAGTTCAAATCACCTTTTTTTAGTTGTTTTGTATTATCGTTGAAATGTAAACATTGTTTGATTTTTTCAAACTTTCCTCGTGGCATTGCATCCGATATAGCAGAAAGCTTGTATTCTTTTGACCAAGCCATTTTAAATTGAGGTACTTTTATGACACCCAAGTACAATAAAATTCCGATATACCTTTTATTTGATCTCCAGTACATTGCAGCTCTATGCCGTGCTCTTGCAACCCATACAAATTAGTTTGATTTGTAATTAAATCAATAACATTATTGTCAAAAAAGCTGCAGAAATACTCTACAGGGGTCTTCACTTCATCGATTTGGCGATTACTATCTTCTTCCCAAATACACCCTGGAGCTTGAAATGGCCTATTTCTCCACTTAAGTGTTTTGGGATCAACTTTTTCAAAGCAATTATCAGCCACAACACTATTTTCTTGAATGCTTTTTTCATCAATCAAATTTTCAATATGCTCAAATTCTATTGATTCTCCCCTTTCCAATATACTTTTTAAATTATTCTCCAACATTCCAGAGATGTCTTCCATTTCATCACCACTTTCTTCGTCACTGGAGACATCCCAATCGAAGTTGACAATTCTCTCAATATCATCATTTGATAAACCTTTTTCTTTTGGTCTCATATTTTGGTGGTGCAATGGCCCAAGGTTGCTCACAAGCAACTTTATTACTTTGAAAATTCCTCAGCTGTTTTTTAATAGAAATCAATTAGATTGAACTACAACATGCATTAAAGAATTCATTTATTAACAAATTTCACTCACATTCTTCAACTTTTAATGCGTAATTAAAAAGTAAATCACTTTCTTTTCAATATACCTCACAATACAACAATCACTTTTTACGCGAGGCACGTCCAGCACATTCCAAATAATTTCGTCAAATGATGCGCAAACTAGAATTTTTTTGCTTACATTCTAAGTATACACATCAAAGCACCGTTATCTCGAAGAATAAGCAGACAAAAACAAAAGCACCGACTACCGATAGCCGTTAAACTTTTGAAATTGCTCACAGGCAACTTCGGGGTCGAATGGGTTAAAGAGGTTTCGATAAAACGACTAAGCAGCTCGGAATATTGGCTGTTTAATTTGACGGAACTGCAATGATTTCTGATTAAACGTCATTAACGACGAAAAGCCAGTTGAATTTGCGCTGTAGATTGCGGCCAAACGTTAGACTCAGAGTGCCATTGGTATCAATCACTGATGAGTTAGCGACATTGCGTTAATGTGTGTCTGTACAGCGTTGCCTTTTTTTAATAGCGAAAGCGTTATGAGTGACATGACTGATCCGGAATCAATGAGAAATTTGATGCAATGGTCGTAAATATGCAGTCGAATTACTTGGAGGGCAGAGCATTCTGGATTTTGCTGTCATCGTCCTGTACGGAAGACAGCTCTTTTAATTTCCCTGTAGCTGAACCAACGAACAGGGCTGCGAGCACTTTTGGGTAATATTGCCGAACTTGGCGTGGTAGAAACGTAAAACTGGATGCTTGCACCTTGCTTTGATGACCGGCTTTGCTGGAATTGCTGAACCGCAAGTTACTTTAAAGAATATCCATAGAAGTTTTAATCGCAGTAGTTTCGGACTTTAACTCGACCACGCTGTCCTTCGAAACTTGCCGCGACCGGAATGTCCAGTAGCCATTACGAAAGAGCTGGTTTTATCCTCAAGGAGATCGTTGGCGAGTGCAGTTTGCTCTTTGATAGAGACTGAGCGCAAAACTTCCAGATTACGCTGAGGCTCACTCGTCGTCACTTGACGCTAGAGCTGAGAGGGCTTCTTATCCCCAAGGTCTAGCTCTAAAAGTTTTGTCTATGGTCCGAAATTGGCTGATGTGAGCTATTAAATTATAGTTTTAGTTCCGAAAAAAATGTGACTGCTTTGAGTGTCGTTCAAAGAATGATTTTTATTTTTCTTTAAGATTCATAAGAAGGCTTTGAAGTGGTGTTCATATAATGCTTTGTGGCGAAACCCCCTTGTTCAGCATATTGGACCGGAAACCTGGGCCAAGTTGTTTACGCTAGCTCGGTATGGTGGGAGTGACAACAGGATCTGCAAAAGTAGGTGAAAAAATTATCTTCCTTCTTGTGGAGATCCAGGCGACGGTTGTAATTGAAATAGACAATGCGACTAGTATATATATTATAAATAGGTTGATGTGGTACCTTCCTCCATGTTAGTGACTGCTAAACCATTATCCAAATTTCCAAGGTGTAAGTCCCTGGAGGTTAATAGGCTACAAAGTGTCAAGTTACGGATGTATGGGAGATTTATCTCAATGGTGTTCATTTAACGGCAAAGGTGTGAGACGGTATATATTGTATTGGTTTTGTGATAAAATCGGAATTTTAATTTTGAACATGAGTGTTTTATTTGTTGTGCTAGATTCTAATGATAAAATTCGTGTTCTAATTTAATTCAAATTTTTTGCTCTGTAAGAAAATTTTGTTTATTTTAATTTCGTTGTCATTACGTGTATATTTTGGAATTGTTTTTAATTTTGCAAATAAGAGGCTTTGAGTTATGTTTTTCAAATGGTTGTAAAGTATGTCGATATTATTCTGATATATAAAGTTATTGATGTTTGTTCAGTAGCTCTGTTCGTATTATAGTCGTATGTTCCATAACCTTTTTGATAGTAGGGAAAAGTGTAGTTTGAAATTCGTTCAATTTGATTATTAGTCATATTCGCTATGAAACCAAATTATTTTTTCAAATAGTTGGGTTCGGCCACTAAAAAGCTAGAAAATTGTTAGATTTGTGCTTGAATGTATATTCTTACTATATATTATAAAATCTTCAGAAAGTAACTCGTCGTGGTCTAGGGCTAGTCGTAGTTCTTTCCTTTTACTCAATACTTTTCTGTAAATCTCTGTCAGGGTGGAGTTTAAACATTCAAACGTCGAGTTACAACTCGATTGTATGTAGAATATATGTAACATGTAATTCTATGTTGCACTGTGACAAATAGTCTATAAAGACAGCACTAGAGAACTTGGCTCTCTGATCAAAAACTATATTTATTTGGTATCCGGAATTGACTGAAGAAAAATTTGAAAGTTTTGGTGGCGAGTACAGAGTCCAATTGTCCATCGGTTATAAGTGTCTATAATTGTCAAATTGTAGCTATTATCAATTGTATTTGAAGTATGACCAATTATGTCCGTTCGGGGTTTTGGGAAAAATGAAAGGGTGCTTCTGTTGGTAAGACAAATTTGGCAACCCCTGGTTACTTGAGAAATTGGGGTACAAAGATTTCCTATTTCAAACGCTGACACATTTCCTCTACTCACCTGTGATGAGTCCTTATTATATTGTCAATTTGGTCATTATGCAGTCGAGCAGAGCGGTCGTGTGCTTTATTCGCTCCGCCAAAATTAGCAAAAAGGCCAGTCAAAATAAAAAATAATCACAAATAATTAGTAACGCAAAAAGACTCACTCTCTCATTAGCACTTTTGCTTTGTTATGTCTTATATATATATTAAAATTGACCAAAAAGTCAACGTGGAAAAATCAATTGGAAGTGCCAACATGCAATAAAATACAAGCGGCACCCGTGCGCCTCGTCATTCCCGAAAAAACAATCGTAAAGTGCACCAAATTGGATGCGCCGAACCCAGAAGTCTCAGAAGCTGAACGTAGGCTTCCAACCGATCGACGAAACGCATATTTCTCTTTCTACTCTCCGAAAAGCACCGAAGAGTACGACAAATGGGTATCTCCGGCACCCCTTAGCTTGCAAAACATTCCTTGGCACTCTTAGTCGCCAAATACTCTGCAAAATATCGCCAAAACAAGGCAAGTAAGCATAAATACGTCAGTTGGGTCATCATTAACCAGCACTGTTACACTGTTGCCCTCACAACAACAACTACAACAACAAGCTCGGCAAGAGCGTCGGTTTCAGATTGTAGCCGACCTACAAATGCTTGGTACCGTCATTATAAATCGAAAATGCATCAAACCACCCTATGCTACAAACTGGTATGGATAGGTAAATGTAAAGCGTAAGCTTAGCCCGCAAATTGGCCAAGATCAAAAACCCTCTTTACGAAAATAAGTTCTCACTGCTGGACAAAGACGACGATGATGAAGTAGAGTCCAAACAAGTCCCCAAGGCCAAACCGCTTCTCATTTACTTACGTGAAACAATAAGCAATGAGCTGGTAAACAAAAAATACTTTTACGTAATGTCACTGACCAAAAGCAACCTTAAAGAAACAAAACTCGCAATTCTAAATTACTACTAATCAAAGCGTTACAAGACAAAACTAAAAGCTTTTATACGTACCAGCTAAAAAGCAGTAAAGGGCTGCAAGTGGTAATAAAAGGAATTGAACTTAACGTTTCTATTGTCGGTAAAAGCCATAAACATAATTAACAGCAATAAAGTTCCGCAGCCTATGTTAAGTATTGACCTTAGTCAAGAAACGAAGCAAATCAAGAAAAACTCCGTTCACCCAACATCCGTAGTGTCATTCGCTAACGCTCTTCGGTATCCAGGTACGGTTCCAATCCCCATCTGCACACGAAAAACTAGTAGCTGCCATCCGCAAGTTTTCTAAAATACTGATGCAAGAAGAAAGGCAGGCCCAAGAAACCTTTACTCAAAAATGCTCACCTACGAACACAAGATTTCCGCTCTGGAAAGCTCACCCTAATATAAGCCCACTAATTCCAGCCGAAACACCGTTGCGAGACCAAGTTGGCTCTTGTGCTAACAACAATCCAGAAAATGCAAACGTTTTCACAAAGCATTTTTACGTTTTTAAACTAAATGGAGCTGCAGGCACGTTCAAAAAACCTGCACTGAGCCAAGGCGAACACACCACATATCTCTAAGGTCATCATAGATTACATCGGAAAACTTTTTTAATGCCATAACGAAATCCGCAACCGTGGTAAAAATTTATGATTCCAAAGCCAGGAAAAGATAAAAGATAAAACTCTTCCCTCGTCATACAGACCGATAAGTCTCCTTTCATGCCTGTCCAAGCTCTTGGAAAAACTTGGATTTAGAGATAAGCATCGTACCATTGAACAAGTCAATAGAATCACCTCGGAAATTCGAACTGCCTTTGAAAACACAGGAAGGACGTCTCTCAGGCTTCTGACAGAGTAGGGCTGGAAGGTCTTATCTATAAAATTAAACTCCTACTTCCTCAAAATGTTCACAAGGTGCTTTTAAACCGAGTCTTCTTGGTGGTACGACACAAAAGTTGCTTAACTAAAGAGGTTGAAATCGCAGAAGTCGTACCACAAGGATGCGTCCTACGACCCAGTCTTTACCTCATACATACGGCGGATATACCCACGACCCAGCGACTGATGACATCCCCGTTCGCCGATCATACAGCTATCTCAAGTCGCTCAAAACTTCCACTTAAGGCATCATCATTACTGGCTTCACAAACCAGCTAGCACGCGCTCTCTGCAAAACTAGAACACAAAATGACTCATCAACCAAATAGCCCTATTAATGGGTACTAACTAAATTTATAGATTTAAGCTCTATTAAAAAAAGATTCGTCAGGGTCACTGAGATTGTGTAGAAAAGTCAAGCATCTTAAAAAATTAAGAGTCTGCGAAATACTTCGAGAAGGCGTCTTGTATTACTTGAAAAATTTCCTCCGTCAAATAAGCGATTAAGGTCTTCTTTGGATCTAAAATTGTTTTTAAAATATCAGTGATATTTTCCAAGGTTTTTACCTGATTCTGTGATATACCTCCGTGTCTTATTTTTAGTAAAAGATTCACGTAGTAAGCAAATTTTGTGTCACAACCTTTTCATGGTAAGCCGGGTTTCTAATAGAATACAAAGCGTACATTCAGCTTCATTTTCGGGCAATAGATGCTCTTAGTTAGACATCTTTAAATCAAACTTACACTTCAAAGTGGGTAAACGTTTAATGGAGTGCTCCGAATCAAAAAATTAAAATAATGCATTTTGAATATAACGGTATTTACTTAAATTTGTTTACCTCGTGCAATCAGTTTGATTGAATACATTTTTATACCCTTGCAGAGGGTTTTATAATTTCAGTCAGAACTGCAACGCAGTGAAGGAGACATTTCCGACCCTATAAAGTATATATATTCTTGATCAGCATCACTTGCAGAGTCGATCTAGCCATGTCCGTCTCTCAGTTTTAAAGCTATCTGCATGAAACTTTCCCAAATGTTGTCTTTCTATTGCAGGTAGTATATAAGTCGGAACGAGCCGGATCGGACCACTATAGCATATAGCTCCCATAGTAACAATCGAAAAAAAATACAAAAAATATTAGAACTTTCCTGTTTTTTAATTTTATTTTAATTTCTTCGACATATAGTAAATATTTCAGAATTACGGTTTAAATTTCATCGAAATCGGACGACTATATCATACAGCTTCCATAGGAAAAATCGGAAAAAAATACAAAAAAAATTATAACTTTGGTGTGTTTACATTTTTTTTTAGTTCTTCGCTATATAGTAATAGTAAAATATTTCAGAATTATGGTTTAATTTATAGCTCCCATAGAAATAGTTAAAATATATAAAAATTTGTTTTTAAATGTAACTTCTATTTTGTAATTTTGTTTTTTAATTCTTTTAGACTTGATAGTTTAGAATTTCGCTTTTAATGTTATTAAAACGTTGCTGCCACAGAAACTATCGAATATTTAAGCTGCAAATCATCATAGCTTCAATGTTTTTAAGCATATACGCAAGTAAATCATAATTTTAATGTTTTCAAGAATATTTAGTTTTTCCAATAGCTGCAGGGTATATGAACTTCGGCTTGCCGAAGTTTGTTTCCTTTTTGTTTTTTTATGTTTATGTTTTTTTTGGGCCTTCTAGTTGTATATTATCCTTTAAAATAATATACCATTAATTCCATTACCTGAAGGACATCA